ATGAAATACGTTTTAAAGAGAGAATTGGTCAAGCACCCGAAGAATATCTATGAAAATCATGGGGCACCTGGGTGGCTCAGTTGGTTAAGCATCTGACTCTTGATTTCAGCTCAGGTCATGATCTCACAGTTCATGAGTTTGAGCCCTACTTCAGGCTCTATGTTGATAGCATGGAGCCTGCCTAGGATTCTCTGTCTCTGTTTCTGTCTCTCTCTCTCTCTTTCTCTCTGCCCCTCCTCCACTTGCTGTCTCTCAAAAATTAACATCTTTTTTAAAATGTTTAAAAAATTTTTTAAAGAAAATTAATCATACACTAGGCCTTCTTCAAACAAAACAAAACAAAATAAAATCTGACCCCTGATAATTTCCTCAGCAAGATAAATATGACAGTGAGAAGTCACTCCCCCCAAAAGACTATGATTACATTTCACTGAGCAGCATGTCAAATCTTGGACACAGTGGAGATGCTTGTTGGTGAGGGTGAGGAGCAGGAGACAGTAAGAGGCATTGAGAGAAACCACATGAATGCTAGAAGTCCAGGAGACTTTCTCCAAGTGGAGTTAGGGACTTTCATTTCTATGGGATCCTATACTGATGTCTTTAGTTGTAATTTAGTGTGAATTCTTATTTAATAGTCTCTCCAGCTACCAGACTGGTATCTCCTTGAGGGCAGGGATGGTGAATGTGTCACTCATCAGTAAATTCCCAGGTCTTACATTAATGCTCAGCACACGTGAGGAATCAAGCAAATATTCTCCTCCCGTTTTTACAAATGAGAAAACCAAAGCTAAAATCATTATCTTTGTTTCCCCAGGTCCCAAGCCAGGTAAGTTACAGCAGTAAGCCTATGTTTTGTGAATACGGACCCAGAATTCTGTTACCGTAAGATGCTATCCCTAGTCAGCATCTCAATTATAAGTACTACACACCTGCTGGTTAATAACTTCCAATCTTGAGTCTTTCAAATGTGTCTTCAACCACTCTGTAGCTCGAGAAGAAGGGTCTATAAGGAATGGGCATACTCGACTCTAGTTTCGAAAAAAGAAAAAAATTATAAGCTTTCATTAAGTGGAAAAAAACTGCCTAAAAATTATGCATCAATTACTGAGGGGGTTTTTCTTTCAGGCTTTGGAGAACATAAATATACAACCATAAGGAGGAAATAAAGATGCCAGTTTTAGCTGCACACAGAGGCTACATTAATAAATTTATAGCTATCAGGAATATTAGAAAATTAAATGCAACCACAGTAAATGCAGAAGAGTCCTATTTACTACACAGTAACGAAGTGTGTGTTAACGATACAGCAAGCAAGACCTCTAGTCCCCACCTGATGCCGTCTGCACCTCTCTTTGTGGCTTTTAAAATACATAAATTATTTGCAAACTTTATATATTCTTTGGTCAAATAAACCATAAAGACCTTAAAAGAGAAGTATGAACTAATCATAAAAGTACTGCTGAAATAATTAGCAATATAACTGGTTATGTTTCAGACATTAATTCTTATAAAGCAGTATATAGTTAATACTATATAGACAGAGAATCCTAGAAGAAAAAATTATGTATCTTATAGATTAAGATCTAATGAACTAGAAACTAAATTCATTACAGAATACCCTGAACCAAACAGAAAGCTGGAAACTAGGGAAAATACATTGAACACACAATACCACTAGGCAGGTGAGAGGAAGACAATTATATAGGTAGGATTAATTTAAATGTAAATACGTAAATTAATAGCTTTGGTAAATTTAAGAGGTAATAATCATTGTTACCTAGTAAATCAGATTTGAGTAACAACTGGCCTAATTTATCTTAAATGTTCACATATATTTGAAAAAGGTAATGCAGTTGTGTGCTGTCGGGATAAGAAAACAAACAGAAATCCAAGTGAAATGAAGACTTCAAACTGAGGTATGTCCCTTAAGAAGTCACAGGTTCTTTTGGGGACTTATCAAGAAGGCAGAGGGTGGGGACTATCTGTCCTAGGCGAACAGCATTCATTACCAAACTTTTTCAAAAGTGCCAGGAAATGGTGATAATAAAGAGCTGACTGCCTTTAAAACAGCTTTGCTATTGTTTTAAAAGTCCCTCTAAACCACACAGCCTGGTTCTGCCTGCACTGAGAATGAACTACTCTCACCGCATCTCGATCTCCCAAGGTGGCCCACTGCTGTGTGATCGGCACCCAGCTCCATCTTATAAATGTGCTATTCCTGGCAAATGAGGTGGTTAGAAAACAGCCCCATAAGCATCTCTTACATACTACACTTGGTTTTAGATCTGATTTTATGTATTCCATAGCCAACGCGTCACAAGTCTATGAGATCTCGCCCAACCACAAAAACAATTATTTTAAATTAAAAAAAAAGTTCTTACCCATGATTTCAAACCAATGATCTGATGCAGTTAAAAAAAAAAGATAATATTTCAAAAAATCATGTCTTTAGACCAAAAATAAGCTTTAGAACTTCAAAGAGTACTTACAGGTTTGAATTAATCTTATTTATATTCCTCCAGAGAGATTTAGACAAAATCTCTAAGGTATAGTTTAGGTCTGTGATCCATAATTAAATGTAAATTCTATACATAAGAAAGTGAAACAGATCCCAAAATGTTTAGCTGTCATTCATTCATCCATTCCTTCAACTACCACGTGGGGAGTAACTACTATGTTAAGACGATACGAGGGATGCAGAAATTAGTAAGATATAAATATACCCTTACCCTTCATGACTTCACATCCCAGAAAGAAACACAACCTAAAAATTCTATAATAAAGAGCACACAAGATTCTATGGTGGAGCAGGTGAAGTCAGGGCAAGCTGCTAGAAAGCAGTTCAGGTCAAACTCGAAGGTCTTAGAACATCTTACATGATCTTCTAACTATGCGATCTTATATCACATGAGAAGATTTCACAGACACGTGCTATCCACTCACAGCCTTAAATGCAAGAGCTTATTCTAAATCTAGAATACTTTACAACTGACACAGAAAGTTGACTGTAGTAGCCCATCCCAACAAAATAACTAACTGCAAATTTTTCCAAATGGTTTTGTTTTTTCATTTAATTGTATCTAAAAGAAACATGGCAATGTTAAATACAAAGTAAACCTAAGCTTATTATTAAAATTAATTTCACAATTTTCCCTAGATTCATCATAAAAGATAATTCAGAATCCAAAAGTAAGTATTTTCAACTACTATCATCAGGAAAAAACAATTACTGTGACAAATACTTTTTTTCTAAAGGCTCATCCCCTACTTCTCATGGAATAAAAAAAGAATAATACTTAAACTGTGTGTTTTTTAAATCTGCAAAAGACTGTCTTCTTGGATTGCTGACAAAGGAAGAGGTCATTAGAAAACTTTGGAGAAGGAACAACGAATAGAATAAAAAGCACATACTTGTTACACAATGTAATGAATTTATTTACCTACACATTTACAGTGCCACATTTGTAAATATAACAAGAGAAAATGTTTTAAAAATAGAGAACAAGCCAAATCAAATTCTGAGAAAGTCACAACCATTTAATCTGTAGGCAGCACCCTCTCCCCTGGGAAGGCGGACACGTAATGAGCCAAAATAAGTCAGCTGATTAATAGGTCTAACCAAACAAAATAATCCAGGAATACTGGGCCCAAGAAACAAATCTTGTAATACTACAGTATGTTACCTAAAAAGGAGCATTTCATGTTCATGCTACCTTTGGAGCTATGGAGTTACAGAATAAGGAAACAGTGTGTGGGCAGAGAACAGGGCAGAGAGGAAAGAGAAAACTGGTGTTAGAGAGGATGCTATTGCAATAGAAAAAACAGACAAAAACCTATCACTGAGGGGAAAAAGTATCTTCCAATCATCTGTTACCTAATACAAAGGTAAACCAAGTTAGTGGCAAACTTCATACTTCATTTGAAGAAACTATCAGTTTGTATACATTAGTTGGAATGTGATTTTCACATTCACTGCTAATAAGGTTGTAATACTTTAATGTTTAAGCAATGACTATTGAGGAATATACACTGAGACAAGGGAAGATGGTGGCGTAGGAGGATGCTGGGCTCACCACGTCCTGCTGACCACTTAGATTCCACCTACACCTGCCTAAATAACCCAGAAAACCGCCAGAAGACTAGCAGAACGGAGTCTCCGGAGCCCAGCGCAGACGAGAGGCCCACGGAAGAGGGTAGGAAGGGCGGAGAGGCGGTGCGTGCTACACGGACTGGCGGGAGGCAGCCGGGGCAGAGGGGCGGCCCGCTGGCCAAGCAGAGCCCCCGAGTCTGGCTTGCAAAAGCAGAGGGGCCAGACGGAGTGTTCCGACAGCAAGCGGGACTTGACATCTGGAAGGTTATAAGTTAACAGCTCTGCTCGGAGAACGGGAGGGCTGGAGGACAACGGGAGGGAGAGCTGTTGAGCCCCGGACAACAGAGCTCAGTTTGGCGGGGAACAAAGGCGCTCACCAGCGCCATCTCCCTCGCCCATCCCCCAGCCAAAATTCCAAAGGGAAACAGTTCCTGCCAGGGAACTTGCTTGCACCCCGCAAACACCCAACGCTGTGCTTCTGCAGATCCATCCCTCCCGCAGGTCTGACTCTCCCCCGGTGCTGCAGGGCCCCTCCCAAAGTGGATCTCTGAAGGAGAATCTAGCTAAGCCTACCCCTCCCACCCCCGTGCACCTTGCCTATCCACCCCAGCTAATACGCCAGATCCCCAGCACCACAAGCCTGGCAGTGTGCAAGTAGCCCAGATGGGCCACGCCACCCCACAGTGAAACCCGCCCCTAGGAGAGGGGAAGAGAAGGCACACACCAGTCTGACTGTGGCCCCAGCGGTGGGCAGGGGGTAGACATCGGGTCTGACTGCGACCCCGCCCACCAACGCAAGTTACTCAAGACAGCACGGGAAGTGCCCTGCAGATCCGCACCACTCCAGGGACTATCCAAAATGACCAAACGGAAGAATTCCCCTCAAAAGAATCTCCAGGAAATAAAACAGCTAATGAACTGATCAAAAAGGACTTAAACAATATAACAGAAAGGGAATTTAGAATAATAGTCATAAAATTAATCGCTGGGCTTGAAAACAGTATAGAGGACAGCAGAGAATCTATTGCTACAGAGATCAAGGGACT